CTGTAAATGAGGGTAATCTTTTTTTTTTTCTAATTTCTTTTTATTGGGAGGGTAATCTTTTTTTGAAACCCACCTCATTAAGTTATTTTGAGGATTGAATTAAATTCACCAGAGGTGCTTAGAGAAAATGGTTAATGTTTACTGTTGTCATAATTAGTAATTACATGCATTTGCCCATGGACTCCTTCACTGCATTTTACAAGTGAGGAAATTGAGGCTCAGAGAGGGGAAGTGCCCTGCCCAAGGTCACACAGCAGGGCGGTGTCAGAGTTGAGATTCAAAGCCATGTGGTCTGACTCTAGACTCCTTGCGTTCAGCCACTACGTTGTTTGCATATAGGAAGTTTGAGGCCCTTGCCTGTCATCACCACCAGGGGTGTAGAAGGGCCCGGAGCACTGGACAGGGAACCAGGAGACAGAGACATTCGTTCAATTCAATCCATGCATCCAATTTGATAGCTACTTACTGAGCATCTACTGACTGCCAGGCACTGTTCTAGGCACCAAGGATTTGGCTGGGAACAAAGCAGACAAAAATCCCAGCCTTGGGAGGACTCACGGTCTAGTGGTGGAGACAGGTGGTCATTAAATAACTCCATATGGGTATCAATGTTAGGAAGGAAAGTCCAGGGTGCTGTGTGTCTGGGAAGGAGGTCAAGGGAAGGCTTCTCTGAGCAAGTGACATTTGAGTTGGCATAAGCCAGATGAAGATGGGGGAGGGGAGAGGACTGCTCCAGGGAGAGGGAACAGTCCACGCAAAGCCTGGGGTAGGAGCGAGTTTGGCACATGGAGGAGGACTGATGAACACATAAGCTCCATGGGGGTAGCACTTTTTTTTTTTTTTGCGGTACGCGGGCCTCTCACCGCTGTGGCCTCTCCCGTTGTGGAGCACAGGCTCCGGACACGAAGGCTCAGAGGCCATGGCTCACGGACCCAGCCGCTCTGCGGCATATGGGATCTTCCCGTACCGGGGCACAAACCCGTGTCCCCTGCATCGGCAGGCGGGCTCTCAACCACTGCGCCACCAGGGAAGCCCCTGGGGGTGGCACTTTTGTTTACTGCTGTGTCCCTGCTGCCTGACATGGTGCCTGGCACACAGTAGGCACTCAGTAAGTATTGGTTGGTTGAATGAATGAACAAGTGGATGGATAAATAGAGAAGTGTATGTATGTATGTATGAGTTGGATGGGTGGATAGATGGATGGATGAGCGGATGATAGCTGAATGAGTGGATGAGTGGATTGTTGGATGGATGCATGCATGCATCCATGCAGGAGTGAACAGATGAGTTTGCAAAGTACCTACAGATTCATACACAAATGTGCCTGCAAACAAACGCAGACACACACCCAGAGACATGCACATTGTGTGTAAACACAGATTCACCTCTTCTCCTGGTGCTCCCCTGGGAGAACAAACACCAAGAACAGAGGTGGACCAAGCTGGCCACGGCCTGTGTGGTTGAGGATGCAGGAAGGCAAACCCTCTAACCTGAGCTACAAGTAGCCCCCCCGCCCCCCACTGCGGCGCTGACATAATTTCTGGAATAGAAGGAAAATACTGATTCAGGGATTTGTGTCCCGGGCTGCATGCCAGGCCAGGGGGTGGGACAGGGATGACCCAAGAGAGTTGGGGTGAGTGGCAGAGGGAGGCAGGTGGGGCTAAGGCAGAAAGACCGGGAAGGAGGTAGAGAGATAGAGAGAAACAGAGAGATGGCAAAATAAAGTGACGGACACAGAGAGAGACACATACACACACAGACAGAGACAGAGATAGAGACATGCAGAAAGGTATAGAGACACAGAGAATGAGAGACAAAGAAAGTCAGAGGCACGTGATATAGAAATTCAAATTCAGACACACAGAGAGTTGAGGAAGGGTTCCAGAGACAGGTAGAGAGAGGGAGAAAAATAATGGAGACACAGAGATGGGAACTTAAAGGACCAAGACACCAGAGGGAAAAAGAGAGAGAGAGAGCCACATGCACACACACACACACACACACACACACACATACACACACAGAGATGCAGAGAGAGAGAGAGAGAGAGAGAGAGAGAGAGAGAGAGAGAGAGACAAAGACACCCAAAGAAGGAAGAAGAGAGAGGTCCAGAAGAGGCAGCTAAAGCTGGTCACAGAGATAAAGAACTCTGGAAAGGGAGCAAATTTCAACTGAGTGCCTCCTGTGTGCCTGGCTCACATGTGGGGACTTTGCTGTATCTTGCTTTATTTAAGCACCATTAGCCCTTCAAGGCAGCATTATTGGTAAGAGATGAGGAAACCAAGGCTCAGAGAGGGAAAGACATTTGCCCAAGTTTGCACAGCCCAGCCATGGCGTTTGGTGCTAGCCTGTTTGACTCCAGAGCCCATATTCTCTTTTTCATCCTATGTTACCTCATGCAGACCAAGAGACACAGGGCAGTGGGCTTAGGGGGTACTGAGTGTGAGTCATAGCGATAGACGGAAATCGTCACTTGTTTATTCATTCAACATACATGTTCCGCACTTTCCTGTTGCTGGAGAGCCAGAGATGAGTCAGGGGCCCTTGGTCTGGAGTGGGAGGCAGACACAGACCCAAATTCCTGAGCAAGACAGGCAGAGTGCACAGTGTTCAGAGGTCTGAAAAAAAAAAAAAAAAAAGAGCAGATAAAGAACGTGCAGAGGACGGAGACAGAAAACACAACTGGTAGGAGGAGGAGACAGAGAAGGCTTCCTGGAGGAGGGGGCACTTGAGCTTCTTATGAAAGGATGAGGGCGTTTGGGCACCAGGAAAAGGGCAGAAGGCAGCATGTGGAGACTGGAGACAGGAGTGAGGGGTGGGAGGGATTAATTAAATAAAGTAATTAATAAAAGGTGACTGAAGAATGTTTGAAGGTATGAGGTGAGAGAGGAAGCTGGGACTAGATCATGCAGTTCGGAGCCATGGGAGGGCTGAGAGCAGGGGAGGGGCAGGGTCATCTCCAAGTGCAGAAAGACCCCTCTGAAACCTTGTGGGAGGGGAATGAGGGGGGAGAGACTGGAGGATGTGAGGGCAAGAAGGAGGCTGGGGCGAGGGTCCAGGAAGGAGAAAACCTTGAAACCTGAGTGGGTGTCGGGCTGTGGGAATGACGAGAAGAAAGAGCAGAGTCAGGAGGCAGAAGGTAGAGATTGAAGACTGATGGGCTATAGGGGCTAGGTGTGCCTGTGGTCATGAGGATGAAAGATGTCTCCTGTCCTATGGGGATGGACTTGGCAACTGGAAGTGAAGGACAGCCTGATGGGAGAGAAAAAGACATAAGGATATGCCAACAGGGAGTCAGGGCCACAGAGGAACTGGGTCTGGAAATTAGTCCATTTAAGTCTGGACTGTTGTAATTGCCGATGACAGAAACGCAAATAACCTGAGCATAAGAGGGAATTAATTGGGTGGATGAGGACTTGAGGGACAGCTAGATCTAGGTGTCCTCAGTCATCTTCAGGAATCCGTCTGCATCTTTGGTTTCTGCTTTCCTCGTGTTGTCTTTGCTTTCAGGCAGGCTCTCTCCCCATGTGGTGATGTGATGGTCCCCAGTAGCTCCAACCTAGGCTCCCACCAGCCTGGCAACCTCACTGGAAAAAGAAAGATCCTCTTTTGGAACAGGTCCGGCAAAAGTCCAAGGGTTGAATCTGTATCCTACGTTGATTTTTAAGCTCATCCCTGAACAAATGACTCAGAAAATCAAGGTGCTACTGCCTAACAAGCAGAGAATCAATGTTTATCAAGCAGGGATAATTGACAGTTAAGGCAGAGATCAGATGAATTCGAGAGAAGACTAGAGATACAGGTAACAGAGACAGACTGGGAAGATAGACAAAATTACTGAAAAAGTCTGCAGTCCTCTCCCATGGTTCCT